GTTCTGATATTAATCAAGAAAAAATGGATCCAGAAGCTCGCCTCGATGCTCATCTCCTGTGCAACTCCTTTTGCTCTTGGCCGTACGCCCTTCGCAATGCCTCGCTCGCCGATCTGGGTTGCTGCCGTTGGCCATTGACCTCTGCCCCACTCCCGTCGTTGCGTTCTCTCGATAGAGGAAGTTCAGCACTTCGTGCGTGAGCTCGAAGCTTTGGCTCCAAGGCCCTTCCCCCCTCTGCCGCTGCAAGATGGGCGTGTCTTGCCCACCATCCTTCCTGCCACTTAACGTGACCGACAACCCATCTGCGCTCTCTGCCACCACGCCGAGCAGATTATGGACGCAACTCAAGCACACAATTTGCTTGCATTGCTTGCTCTTCGGAACTCCAGCACTGATCAGGTAGCCCATTAGCACGCCGCGGTCACTCTTGCGCCATGCGAGCGTCATGAGGCCAGCAGGCTTTTTGCTCCTGACCCAGATGCGGTGAGCGCAAGTGAGACACTTGACAGCAACCCGCTCCTGGCAGCTCACAAAGTCAACCCTGATTTCACCTGAGGTGATCCCCCTCAGGCTACCTTGCTCAATGTGGCCAAGCCCACTGCTGAAATGCGGAAGACTAGCTTGAGACTCCATGGTTACCACCCCTGGCCTACTCTGAGGGGGCCGGATCTTCCTAAGCCCCGTGCGCCTCCATCCTGCCTCCTCCTACACCGGTCCGGGAATACCGGGCCCTGGAACTTGCCTATTTGGCCCGACGCCCTCTCCCTAAGTACCTAAAGCCCGACCTCGGCCGGTGGTCCCGGTCGCTTAGCCCTAAGTTCCGATGGTTCGACGCACCGGTGATCGAAAATGTCCGGTACCGTCGTGGGGGGGAGCCTACGTGGCGTCCTCTCCGGTACATGTAATAAAATTTGCCGTCACTGCCAAATCCGGCACGATCGTTAACGTCTCTCCACCGTCCGATCGGAGCGGGCGCATCGCGCCCGTTTATTTAACACCGAACTTCATTTGGTAGGCCCTGAAGCGGCAGATTTTTGCATGAACGTGTTGAGGACACGTTCAAAGAAACGGTTGGGCAGCCTGCTTGGTTCTTATCAAGGTGCACAATCGAGTATAGGTGCACAATATTCATGCCAGTCAATTCAGATCGGCCAAGCAGAAACAACAATTGCATCGAAGGTGGAGAATCATAAATAAGATGCCAAACGTTGGCAGAACCGGCCGGAGTGCAACAATTCCCTTGAATGTTCAACGATCCGGCCTCGAACATTTAATTCATGCATCATCACGGCGTGCATGATGGCCGCAACAGTACGTCGTAACATTGCAACGTATACATGCGCTATAATCACGGATGTATAAGTTGAACCGTGCATGCCATCTCTAGCTGTCGGAACTGGGCAGCCGCGCGGCCGCGCGCATGGCGTACTGCGCAAGACGTACACTCGAATGCATTAAGCCGATTAAATGATCCATTAAATTGGCCATGTTCTAGCTGACAATTATAAGAATTAAAGCACTCTAAATTAAGCTTGAATGTAGCTATGGTGAACAGGCTTATGACCAATTGTATATATCGAGATATATAACCAACATCAGTGCGTACATGGTTCACTTTCATTTCAAGTAATTCAATCCAATAAGACCTCACCGTCATGGAATACTACTCTGGTGCGACTTCTAGTAAGAAAGCATAGTATACAATGATGACCGAAATTTTAGAACGCTGATAAGTTGAGTTCGATTCAAATGAGAATTAGTGTCTTCCGCTTGGCACCAACTATTATTGCGCATGCATGTATGGTAAGTTGCATATAGAAGTAGCAAGGCTCTCTCGAGGAAGTCACGTTGCATCACCCAGCAAGTCACTTCCGCCAGATATTGATCACGATAGACAAACGCCTTGAAAGCTGCGCGGGCTGGGCGGCTCAAGGGCAACGCCTGGTTTGTCGGAAAAACAAGCTCGGAGCGGGCTCCTGGCAGCCTCATCAAGTCACAAGTCACCTGCAAGCGGACCTCGTTATGTGTAATTATTCCTCTCAAACCTCCGTCCGGCATGGTCTTCGGTTTTGGGCCTCTGTTAATCCACAATGAGGAGAGGCAATTGGTCTCGTTCCATCCTACATACCCAACGGTGTAGCGCTTCAATCTATCAGTAAAGAATGCACCTGTCAGACTCTGTCTTTGCTCTGTTCTCGTGGCAGCAGTTGCTCTGCTTCCTCGTCCCGGCCCCCGCCTGCCAGGGCTTGCAGGTTCAGTGCGCTGTCCCGCTGCTCCGCCTTGAGCAGCATGCGGCACCACTCCGTTTCTACCCGGAAGAAAATCCACTGCGAAGCAAGAGAAGGCGACACAAGGTAAGAGAACGTGAACTTCGTGCTCACAAAGTTTATGCTTCGTGAGTACCTAGAAACGCTTTCTTTTGTATTCTTCAAGTTGCACAACTCTTGTCCGCAGCTTGTGCAAGGTCACCTCCCCTGCAACGGCCAAAATGCGTCTATCCGGCCCGGTGTTCGCGCGCATGGCTGTGGCGCTCACTTGGAACCGTCGGGTGATCTCTAGGGCCGAGAAGAAGAAGACGGTGAGGTGGTTGTGCCGCAGGTGCGCGCTCAGCTTGTACGTCCAGCTGGCGCGCAGCACGCCGTCGGTCACCATGGCCCAGTAGTACACCTGCACGCCGCCACTGCCACGTCAACAACGAACGCGAAGATGCTGGAGAACGCCCAAGAAGCCAAACGAGAGCACACAACCGGGACGACACTTTGACCATCTCAGCAGGGAAAGCAAAGATAACCATTTTCAGAACTGCAAGCAACTGTTCGGGACTTCCGGTGAAAGGCGCACACCACAGCTTGAAATACAGAACTGCAGTGTGGGCTGACCCATTTATGCGGGTAGTACAGGTTGGCCCGCAGCAGCGGGTGGCGGCCGTGGCAGGCGGCGGGCGAAAAGGCGGTGAGGTCCCAGTCGCGCGCGATGTCCCAGTAGAAGCTGTAGCTGCTGTTGACCACGGCCGCCACAATCCACAGCGGCTTCCAGAAGCCGCGCCACTCCTCCAGCGGCACGCGGTACTTGATGCCCGAGAACAGGATCACCGGGAACGCCGTCGCGTACTTGAGCGCTGCGAAAAGAGCAGGCCGTCAGACACGGCGGCAAGTGCCAAAGCAAGAGGCTGACGCCATGCCCTGGGAAGGGGTCAAAAGCCCAGAGCCCTAACGGCCCTCTTGATAACGTCAGGATGCGGGCCGCCAGCTGAACGCCTGGCTCGGAGAGGCTGGGCGCCCGCAAGACAATTGTTCGGATGCAAACATGGCCCTCAGCCCGAGTCCTCGTGTACTCTTCACAACGCGGACCTAGCCACCGTGCTGTCTTCAGTGTGTACTGGCACCACCTTGCCCCCTGCAGAGGACGCCTGCTAGAGACCGCAACGAGCTTCATGCGCTCGGCGAGCACCGTACTGCCACGTACTCAAATCCAATGAATGCTGGACTGAAACTGCCTCCCCGAGTGACACGAGAACCCCTTCTGCATCGAGAGCCGTCCAACTACCAACATTTCTATCTTCTTCTGAAATGTCCTCATTCCCTTCATGCCCTCCTGCCAACAAAAAAGCCCAGCCAGTCTACTCCTCGCAAATCGAGAAGACGGCTTTTTGTGGAAACACTTCGAGCATCTGAGCTTCTTTGCTCGATGAGATGTGTGATGCATGAAGACGCCCCTGGTTCAGTCCTCAGCATGTCGGACCAGCCAGCCAGCACCTCCGCATCCCTGTTGACAACGCCGTGTAAAAAGGATGGTGGCGGAGAGCCCACCGTTCAAGAGGCAATTCTTCTCCCTGGTGTCGCTGTACTGGCGGCAGCATTGGAAGAAGCGGCAGGCGTAAGGCAGCGCGAGCACGCAGGGGATGGCCATTGCGTGGCCCCCGCACACGTCGTCTGGGCCCAGCCACAGCAGGCTCGCCACCTGGGCAGGCAAGAGCCACGTCAGATGTTCGCAACGGGCTCGTTGGGCCTGCCACGGGAACAGTGATGAACACTCTCCATTGCAGATCAAAGCGAGGCGGTGTGCGTCAGAAATGACACTACTGTGCCACTTTCACCGGAACCCATGCACGTGATCGAAAATGAGCGTGTGAGAAGTAGGTGACCTTCTCTTGGCTTGCTCTGAGCGCCAAAGCCACTGCAAAGACAGCAGAATGAAATACAGCAGCGTCCAGAATATGAGGCTCCCATCCCGTGCAGCTTGATTCCCCCGAGAAGGCCCGATTAAGAGTGCATTAACAACCGACAATCTGCGGGGTGCTGTTCATGCCTGCCGGTGCGGCCCTGACCTGGCCGTTGAGCATGCGGCAGGTGGCGCGCTCGAGGTCGGAGAGGACCTTGGACATGGACGTGAGGACGTCGGCCACAAAGAAGTCGGGGAAGCTGATGGGCTGCAGCGGCAGCAGCATGCGGCCGAGCGTGGTGAGGAAGAAGAAGCGCGACGGCGCGTACAGCACGTCGAACGGCAGCGCCAGGACCAGCGGCAGCGCCGCATACAGCAGCATGGGCTGGGCCGCAGCCGCACGCGGGGCGCCGTGCGTGAAGCAGTACAAAAAGGCAGCGGCGCTGGACAGCACCGCCACGCCCAGCCAGGCCGCAATCTGGGGCACGATGCGCAGTGATGTGAGGGGAGCGAAGGATGGGCGCTCCTCACGAGAGCCGGGGGAGCAGGCGGGCCAGCGGCCATGACATGCTGGCTTGCGTGGCAAGCCTACTCAACGGGAGACGGTGTGTGCAGCAGTATCAACATTGGATATCGAGTGGACCCGGTCACAAAACCGGCCAGATCCTGATGGCAGGTGGAGGCAGTGATTTGCTAGGCGCACTTGCAGATAGTGGGGTTGCTGGGCGGACCTTCCACAGATCATGCTGTGTGAGGTGGCTGGCGGGATCGATGTTGAAGACTTTGGGGTAGCTGACGCGCGAGTGCGCAAACGCCCACAAGTTGACCCCCCACAGTGCCACCATGTACGCCTGCACAACAACCATCGCACTGCACACCATCGCACTGCTCCCACCATCACCGCAAGCAGCGCAACATTCACGGAGGGGCAAAAAAGGCAGGGGAGCAGAAAAGGGGCACCCACACGGCGCGGCTGATCCTCACACCGAGTCCCCGCGGATGCTGGCCCTGTGAGGCCTCAGGCAGCGGCGCCGACAGGACGCAGGTGACTTACGACGGTGACGAGCGGGTTGTAGTAGAGGAAGACCTCAAAGAGGAAGGTGTTGCGCGTGGCTGGCTCCAGAAGGGCAGTGGAGTCATGGATAGTCTGCAAGAGCCAGCCAGGAGGAGCAGGCCATCACAAGACGCAACTTGAGAGGACAGACTCCTCTGTGCCCTTCTTTGCATGCTCAGATGCTGGGTGCCTCATCCTCGAGACTGTCCGGCTGCGCCCCCCACCTTGAGCATGAGGAGCGCCACCGCCGCGAGGACGGCCCACTGCCACCGGGCGGCGCGCGTGGCCGCCACCCCCGCCTCCCCCTTGCCGCTCAGGCTGGCCATGGCCCCACTGCCAGGCGCCCCCGCAGCCACGCCGGCAGCCTCCACGCCAGGTGCCTCTTCCTCCTTCTCGTCACCACCTGCACGTACCGCTGCAGCAGCGAGTCAGGCAGCGGTCGGGAATGCAACCCCGAGTCTGTTGCAGAAAGACAGGCCACCATGGGGGCCATCCTGCCACTGGTGATGGGACCTGTCCATGCTCCTGTTGAGCACTAGTATCACCAGGTGATGACTAGCTTGTCCTGCAGACAGGGTAGATCTCAGGGGGACACAAGATGCAGACTTGTGATACAAGGACACTTCTTTGCAAGTTGCTTCCATGCAAGCATCACACCCAACGACCAAGTTGGCAGACATACGTTGCACCCCATTGGCCGCACCAAGTTGAAGCCCCCAATTCAATGTCTAGAATTGAGAGGTAAGGTTTTTTGGGCACCAAGCGCAAACTAACTTTAGTATTAGGAGGCCACCTTCGGTTGGATAGAAGCCCAATGCGGAATGCACCAGTTTGGCCATTGCTCCTGAATCCGAACTACTTGACCGCTTCCTTGCCTCTGATTTGAAGCAGGTGCATCGTCCAATTAGTGGTTGATGGGATTACTGGCGCAGCTTGAGCACGCAAAGGGCAATCTGAGGAGATACTGTGACACCCGCTGTACCTGAGAAGAGATCTGAGGGGTGGCGGCCCGCTGCTCCAACCTTCCGCAGATGCACCCAGGTCGGGCTGCGAGCAACAACCTCTGAGGAAGAATCCAGCATGAGCTGGGCAGCAGGGGTGAAACCCCTGCGACCAGGCGTGCACTATTTGCCACAGTATCACGATCAAGCTGTCATTCCTATGGTGCTCATCAGAAACACCCAGTCAAGATTGGTGTTTCATAGTCAGTCTGCTTTGACAGCGCTTGCACACCAAAGTAGAGGATTCCGTGATTCACAGGTTGCCTTAAAGATGGGGATGATCGTTTTTGTCCATGTCCATGTCATTGGGATCCCTCGTGAGTACAAGGAACTTAAGGGCTCTAGGATCTACGGACCCCTTGCAACGTGCTCTTGCTAATTATTGAAGCGATAAGCGTTTTAACCCAGTACTGGCCAGAGCGACTGACAGCGACCATGCTTCAATGTCTAGGCCCCTTTGTGGGCCAAATCCTTTATGCACCCAGTCTGATGGCCCTTTCACATGCCTGGGCCTGGCGTACCTGTTACACAAGCAACCATGAGACCCGATCCCGCAGAGCGCGCTTCAGTCTTCTGATCGTACATGAGAGAGGGAGGAGCTAGAGAGAAGAGGGAGAAACTGCAAATTGCAAATTGCACATTGCAAGGTGCTGTGTATAATGTGCGTTCCACTTTTGGGATCTAGGTAACCATTTGCGGCCGGCCAATAAATTGCTTTTCATCGACCACATGGACCACGTGTACATACCGCCCTCTGAATGTTTGCCAAATCGGTATGGTACCAGGCTACCATGGGTACCTGTTTTGGTCTCCACAGCTAGTCCAGGTGAATGGAGCCCAGACTCTGATCTGTGCTGTCTCATGCAGGGCTGGTGCCAGTGTCGATGTCTGGCTCTGCTACCTGGAGGCTGGTAGTGCTTCAGTTCTGCAACATTCAACTTCATGTCTGCCTACGCAGAAGATCTAAGGTCATCAAGATTCAAGGCGCACTGAAATGCTAGCATTGGCCTTCGTAGAAAATTTTACTTTGGTTGCTGCCCAGCTTTTAACAGGCTTCGTTTGCTGCTTTCTTCTGACTTCATAATGGAGCTCATGGATTCAGTGAGCAAGTCTAGATGTGGTGCCCCTTGGACAACTCCGTCAACGATTGGCCAAGACCAGTTTCGCAATATCTGCAGTGACGCTGGTGTTCCCTGCTTCTCCAAAACGTCTTGCACCCTCTCCCAGCACAGTCCGAGCAGATATTGGAGTTGCAGAGGATCTGTGCATGCAATCAATCTATCTGCACAGAGAGCTTCTGGTTGGAGGGAGGGATTACCAAGTGTAAGTTTTATTCCTAAGAAGGGCTGCTTCAACTTAGACCTCTGGGGGCATCTAGCTTGCTCCGTGATTCACAGGTTTGCAATTGCAGCACTAAGCTTACAGGGAGTCAGATGGTTGGGGGGAGCAAACCGGGCACTTGTGATTGCAAGCAGCTGGGATCTGTAAGCTGAGGTTGAGACAGGGCAACATGCCAAGCAAACTGGAGCTTGTATGTCGGTTGCCCCAAGGTGTGAGCAGTGGTGCAGTGGTGCAGCTTGTCAATCTGCTCTTTAACTCACTAGTGTTGTACTTGATTGCCAGGTTGCATCTAGGCGGACCTCACATCAAAGGAGGCACATACTTGTGGCGCAAGCTCTTAAAATCAATCGATCGAGTACCCTCGAGCCGAACGAGTTGGAAAGGGGTAATGACGATGACGAAGTCTGTCCACTGGAGTGCGTGAGTATCTTGCTTGGTTTTTGTGTGGTACTGATACTTCAGCATTGGAACCATAGTCTTCTGAGCTTTTTGTGTGGTATTGATACTTCAGCATTGGAATCATAGTCTTCTGAGATCTTTGTTTCCATTTTATGTTTTGCATTGAGTATGATGCTCAAGGATTACATTAGCAGCGGATTTCGTTCACCAGGTTAACCTTGTATGTCTTTCTTTCCACCAGATGCACCAACAAGGGAGATAGAATGATTGTTCTGCGATAAATCAAGCCTTCTGGGTTCTGGAAGTCAAGCCTCGATGTATTACAGGTCAAAGAGATCTACAGCCAGGACGAGCTTCAACATCACCTGGACGAGGCTGGTCCAAATTCGCTCGTGGTGGTCGACTTCTTCCGCACGGCATGTGGCAGTTGCAAATATATTGAGAAAGGCTTCATGAAGCTGTGCAAAGGAGAAAGCAAAGATGAAGAGGAGGGGGGCCAGCACCATGTCGTCTTTCTCAAACATAACGTACGTGCCTTAGCTTCTTTTCCTGATTCGTCTGTTATCGTTCTGGTTTTTTGCTATTTGGGTACATCCGTTCAGATGATTGTAGACTATTGTTTGTGGTTGGCTGAGTAGCTTCCTTGTCCCAGAGGTTCATGTTTTGAATCAAACAGCTGAAAAGTTCATGGCTCCAGAGTACAGGGCAAGTTATCTGGCTTGTGGGTCCAAAGATCTGGTATTCCCTGTTTGCTTCCAGTCTACTATTGCAGGCACTCCTTTTGCCTTGCACAGTTTGAGTTTCGATTCCAAGCATCTTTATGCAGGTCATGAACGAATATGATGAACAGAGTGACATTGCCGAAGACCTTCGAATAAAGGTGAGCTGTCCAAGATTTACATGCATAGTTGCCAGACTTTTCAAACTTTCGAGCAACAACTGCCGGTTCAACTTCACCACGGTTCATCTGGTCATTCGAGGGTTTGAATGACATGATTTGCGATGAATGTTGCACCCCGAGAACGTTGGTTATGGCAATAAGTATATTGTTGCCCTTGAATTGATGTGATCAAATCTTCCTCTTTGGGTGCTGATCTCCAGGTGGTGCCCTTATTCCACTTCTACAAAGGTGGGAAGTTGGTAGACTCATTTGCAACTCGTGATAAGAATCGACTTCTTGCAACTATTTATCGACATACCAACAGGGAGTCGGAAATATCAAAGTTGTCGCAAGCATAGATACCTAGCACTTTTGAACGGAGCTAGGCCCGAAGCAGGCCCAGGTGCTAGCAGCTACCGGGTGTGATACGGTATTGTGAGCTCGATAAAAGAAAACGATGTAATACAATCCCACCAGCGGATACACTAGCAGAATCTAATCAAGCTTAGTGTGTACCCTTAAACATCGACCATGCTCTTTGAGGGTCGGAGTACATAATGTCATGTAGCGGGGAAGTGCCGGCCCGGTGTTGCCAGCCGTCCAATTACCGAGCTGGCCGGCTTATACATTGGAACATGTTGTACGGCCCGGTAGTTCAGTAGTTTATTAGCAATTACTGGCGGCAGGCTTACTATAAATCGTCCGTACACTGTGACATACTATGTCATGCCAACTTCGAATAGTAACGTACTATGTCATATCATTCCGTGTCCCATTCATGCAAAAGTAAAACCTCCATGCATGCCGGGCCTGATCGCGACGGTTTTGAGGGGCGAGCTGTGAAGCTCAATATGTCCTTAATTAATTCAAGTAGATTTCGTGTGCCCTGCAAATCCGCGCCGGATTGCATGATATATATGCAGTGCCATGCCGTTTAACAACATTGATCGGATCACATGCCATACGTACTAACCTAAGAAAAATTAAACACTCCGCTATATGAGTTACATAAGCTTCGAGCTGTTTCCTTCTAAGTTTCGTCTGGCTACAGCTCGCTCCAAGCTGACATGTGCAAATCGCGCAGCGACTCGTGACTGAGCTGGTCTTTAAATTCAAGTTTATAAAGAAACTTCTGGAAAATCATGCGCTCTAAAGCTGTCTAGCTGCGTATACGTATACGTAATCGCGACTTATTTGCCTCCCTTATACTATAAACAGGCACTCAAATCATGTTGAAACTTGAAACACATGGTTCGGTTGCGACGTTTTAATCTGATACGGTATAATGCGAAATTGGCAATCGAATGCACATCACAAGACGATCGGCCGCAACGACATCGTACTTTATGCCCATGCCTGCACTGTGCACTACTCAGGAGGGCCACGAACTCGATCGATTTCCAAACAATATAAGCGATGATGCACATGCAGACCGACAATTGAATGTATGATCATTGTCACCGTGTCAGTGTGCAAGTTTTCATAGCATGTTTTTCATTTTTTGGTGGACATCACATATTATCTTGAATCAAGGGTGGCGGAAATTGGAACGCCAAGGATGCCATAAGCCGATGACCTTTGTGAGAGGCGTGGGATGTGACGGTTGGACGGGTTTGAACGCTGCCCTGTAACGATTACGACTGGTTAAGCCTAACCTCGTTCTCGACAGGATTTCGTTGACCGCGGGTTAGCGAAACGGCGGTGGTTACGTCCTAACGACGCACTGCGTAGCTGTCTGCAAGACGGCGTAATATCCCGGATGGATCGGCTTTAGTGAGCCGATGTCACCGTTCAGGATA